ACTGTTTTCCTTTGTAGCACTTACTACGGGACAAAACCATTTTATCAGTCTGTTAGTTTCATTCCCCTTTAAGTGGAACACAGGATCCATGGAGGCAAGGACTCCTGACCTGTTTTGCTCACCACTGCAGCCTCAGCACAGACCATAGTACAGATACATAATATTAATAGTTGTTCAACAATTATTACTTGAATGAATGAATGAATGAATGAATATATAAGCAGAACAGTGTAGTGGGCTCAACTATTTTCACTTTGACTGTTTTGGTTGCAAAAGGTCTCATCTTTGAATGCCAAAGGTTAAAGGTGTCAAACAAACAAAACAGAGTTCTGGGATAGTAACTGTGAGGCCCACAACTGCTTTGGCCTCCTTCTCACAAATGACACTGGGGCAATATTATCCCTATTTGGCAAATGAGGAAGTTGAGGCTTAGACATTTCCAGTGACGCATCCATGGCCACAGCAAGTAATTGAATTGGCAAATCCAGGAGTTGAACCTGCTTTCTCTTTTCCTCCCAAAGGACCTTGGCACATGTAAGATTGTTTGATTTTTACAGTGGAAAAAATGGCTCCCTTAACTATCACTCTTCTGTGCCATTCATCTCTGTCCTCAAAGACAGGGCACCAGTTTGGGCTCATGACTTCCACATGCAAAATTTCAACAGCCTTTTACCTGGCCTCTCTACCTCCACTCTGAATTCCAATCCACTCTACATGTGACTGGCAGATTAAGCTTTTTAAAGCACAATACTATTTATATTACCCCCTCCAAACACTCCTTAATGCTCGCTGAAAGAAAATTCAGACTACCTTCTCTGGCCTCACCATTTTCATCTTTGACACCCTCACCTTCATCTCCCCTTTATCAGTATCAGATGTTTTTACTTCCCATTTCTAACACATTCTCTTTCTTGCCTGTATTGTGAATTCAACAAATGTGGATTGACTTCCTGCTAAATGTAAAACACTCTGCCAGCCCCAAGGGCAATTTACAAAACTTCAGATTCTGGCCGGCCGAGTGGCACGTTGGTTAAGAGCTGGCTTGGGACGCCAGAGGGCCCCGGTTCGGATCCCACATATGAAGGCCAGTGACACTGCCCTCTACAGCTAAGATGCTGAACAACAGCTCGACCTGGAGCTGGGCTGCCTTGAGTCCCGGCGATGGCGTAGGCTGCAGCCCCTGTGGCAGTGGGTTGCCATGGGCTACCGTGTGTAGCCAGCAGCCAGCGTGAGCGGCCAGCAGCCACAGTGAGCGGCCGTCCAGAAGCCGGAGACTGATCTGCCTCGCCCAGGAAGAGCGCAATGATGGTGCCAACTTGGGCCAGTGAAGCAACGTCCTCCACAACTAGACTGAAGAACAAAAGGACAGCAACTTGTCTGTTCCCCTTCCCCTGATTCCCCAGCACTGTTCCCCTCCCCCAATTCCCCAATAAAAAAATCTTTAAAAAAAACCAAAAACTTCAGATTCTGTCCAGCTCCTCAGAGGAATTTGATATGTAATGAGAAAGCAGGGACACAATCAACCATCGCACAAGGCAAAATGAGCTAAATGCTAGATCAGAAGATGAAAGTGCTAGGGAGGGAGTGATTTGTCGCAACTGGGGAATCCTGGAAGGCTTCCAGAAGAGGAGACATTTGAGCCTGCTGGATGTGTCAATTTTGATTGACAAGGAGAGAAAGAGCATGGCATCCATGCTTTCACTCCCTTCTAGAAAGCTCCTGTCCCAGCTCTGCCTGCCACAAACAGACTGATCCAGGCCCCACTCTTTGATGCAACCCCCCCATCCCCTCCCCACCACACACACTCCACCTTTCACAAAATCACTTACATTTCCAACTTGTATTATAGTTCATTGTGCACATGCCTTGTTTCTCTTACAAAGCCCTGAGGTCTCTGAGGAAATAGAATGTGTCCACCTCATTGTTGCGTCCCCATCCATCAGGCCCAGAACTGGCCCATCGCTGTCCTCTAATATACGCATGCCTTGAATGTACAGATAGTGAGTGTAAGTTGGGCTACTTGTTTTTAAACAATTTTTTTAAAGATTTTTATTGGGGGATTGAGGGGATGGGAACAGTGCTGGGGAATTGGGGGAAGGGGAACAGACAAGTTGCTGTCGTTCTGTTCTTCAGTCTAGTTGTGGAGGGCGTTGCTTCACTGGCCCAAGTTGGCACCATCATTGCGCTCTTCCTGGGCGAGGCAGATCAGTCGGCAGCTGCTGGCCGCTCACACTGGCTGCTGGCTACATACTGAAGTCCATGGCAACCCACTGCCACAGGGGCTGCAGCCTACGCCGTCGCTGATGACTCACGGCAGCCCAGCTCCAGGTTGAGCTGTTGTTCAGCATCTTAGCTGTAGAGGGCAGTGTCACTGGCCCTCATATGTGGGATCTGAACTGGGGTCCTCTGGCGTCCCAAGCCAGTTCTTAACCATCGCGCCACTCGGCTGGCCCTTTAAACAATTTTCAAGGTGAAACTTTTTCAGGTTCCTTCAGACACTTAATAAATCATTATTAAAAGACTACTCTGTGCCAAGCATTTGTGCTAAGTGTTAAGAGATAAGAGTGGTATACATGGGCATGGACCCACCCTCACGAAGCTTCCCATATAAGGGGGGTGACAAACATTAAATAAATGAACAGTTAAATAAACACTTGTTGAATTACAGTTGTGATTATCATTAAGAAGTAAAAATAGAGGCCCAGAGGTAGGGAAAGGTGAGGGTTCCCCGCACGGGGCCATGTCTTCGACGTGGTGAGGCCCAGAGGGAAGGTGCCCAATCCTGAGCACCACCATTTTGCATCCAAAGAGAGTAGCGGTCAGAGCTAAGTATTCAGAAACCAAGTCATGGATCCACCTGCACGTAAAGAAAAATTCAAAGTTAAAGAGCCGGTCAGCAGAGTGGAGATGGCCAAGCAGAAATCAGCCCAGCAAAGACAAAAAGCAGAGATCTATACCCTCAACAGAGTCATGACTGAACTGGAGCAGCAGCAGTTTGATGAGTTCTGTAAACAGATGCAGCCACCTGGTGAGTGAGCCTCCCAGTGTTCAAAGGAGCTGGGACCCTGGAGGCTTTGTCTGTGAGCTACCAGTTTTAAGCTGAGATGGCCCATTTGGAGCCTTATAGAACTAGACAAGAAGCCATTTGTGTTATTCCTAAAACTGGATAAAACTGAACTTCCTATATGTAACTTCTGCTTCACTGGTTCCTCCAATCTGAACTGGCTCAATGCTTGAGGAAGAGACTTGTTTTATTCTTTTAAGACATGGTTTCTTGTTTTAACCTTTTTCTATTATGAAAGAAAAATCAGTGTTTCTTGTGAAACTGCAAATCTCCAAAAATACTAATAAAATGTGGGGGGAAAAAAAGAAAAAATAGAGGGCAAAAATAACAGATAAAAGTTATATAGCACTCATCAGCTATCCTAGGAACTTTACATATATTAATTCATTTCATTCTTATCACCATCCTAAGAGGTATAACCACTTTATAGAGGAGGCAGCTGAGGCACAAGAGGGTTAAATAAATTTTCCAAGGCGCACAGCTAAACTGGTAGTGCCAGTATTGCAAGTATATGTAACACAGTGATCTCTTCTAATTTAATGCACTCAAAGAAGACTTCCCTGGGGAAGTGACATCCATCTGAGATCAGGAGGTTGAATAAGAGTAGGCCAGGCAACCAGGCTACTGTGGGACTGTTTGGGGCAGGGGAAGGCCTAGAGAAAGCAAGGAGCCTGACAAACGTGAAGAACTGGGTGGGAAGTGGTGAAACTGGTGAGGCAGGCAGTGGCCATGCTAAGAAATATGGATTTTATCCTAAAAGCAATGTACACTTTTAAGAAAGGGGAGGTGACATGATCAGACTGTAGCTTTTAAAAGGTGTGGGAGAAACTGTTTGCAGGCTGAGGAGATCCATTCCTATATGTGGTTAGGAGAGAGGCTGGTGGCCTGAACTGGGGTGTTGGAAGTGCAGGTAGAGAAAAACTGTCAGGTTTCAATATTTAGCAGAGAGAAGCAGGAGAACTTGGAAGGTGGTTATGGCAGCTGGCAGACATGGAAGTGTTAAAGATGGTGCCCAGGTTTCTGGCTTGAGATGGGTGGATGGTGATGCATTTAGCAAGATACAGAGGGCTGGAGTTCAGGGTAAGAGGAAGATGAGGATTACAGTTCTGGCCATTAGGAGTTTGAAGTCCTGTGAGTCATCCAAGTGGAGAGTTGTGTAGGTGATGGATGAGTGCTCTCTGGGAGGGCGGGGGGAGGGCGGGGGTTGGGGGATGTACATGTGGGAGTTGAGGGCATATGAAGAGGCTTGTGTGCATGGACCTGCTCATGTACAAAGTGCAGAGAATACAGCCCATCCCGGCCCCAAGGAGTTCTCATGTTTGAAGGTCCTGTCTGCTCCAAATGTGGCCGATTAGAGCATCTCCTGCTTATTTTCTCAGCACCCACTCCCTGTAAATAGTTCAGAGGCAGCTCTCCTCCAATGGGCACCCAGACCAAGGCTCCCACTGGGGAAGCAGAAGAAAAGCAGGCGAAGCAAGGATAATTGAGGCCTGAGACCCAGTCATACTAAGGGCTCACCACTGCTGACCCCGCGGCTCCCTGTCTCGCAAAGCCCCTGGAAGATCTCTTCCACACAAGCCCGGTTCACACTGATTGACTGGCTTTTATGGCACCCGTTGCTGTTTGAAGTATTCGAAGCTCCTTTTAATCTGATTGCACCATGTAGAAATGTTGGGGGTGGGGCATAAAAGGGGGCCATCCTGTTCACTGGGTAAGGGGGTCGCTTTCAGAAATGATTTCAAAATCCTGGGTATCAGAGTGGGGGAATGAGGATGAGAGGAGCGCGAGAATTTTCAGATGTAGCTCTAGATGGGGCGATCCCTTTGCTGAGGTCGATACCAGGGTCGCGGGATGCTGCCGCGTCACCGCAGTTTCCGGAAACTCCATGCTCCTCGATCCTCGGTTTCGCGCCTGGTTCCGGAAGCGGAGCGAGCTAATAGCGCGCGCAGGGGCCCGGAGGTGGGCCGACTGGAGGGGCCAGGCGAGAAGGAAGCGCTTTGTTCCCTAGTTGCTTCTTGCACCTCGGGAGCGCCAGAGAGGCGCGGAGTCCGGGAGGCGCGCGCATTGGGAGGGACCTGCGCTGGCCGAGCGCACGGGGGCGGGTCCACGACCGGCCAGAGGCAGAAAAGCGAGCGCCCGAGCTCGTGCGCCCAGTGGAGGCAGCTGCGGCATCGCTGGCAGCCCAGCGCACCGAGACACAAAGGCTGGTTGTGGGATGTGGAGGCAACTAGGGAGCCAGCAAAGGGAAAGCGAAAGCCACGGGCCCGGCCGGTAACCGTGTTGAAGGCGCCGCGCGGTACCCGGGCCTCTCCTCGGGAGCTTGCCAGGCCGAGCCCGGTGCGCCGCAGCCATGGCCATCGCCCACCTGGCCACCGAGTACGTGTTCTCGGACTACTTGCTGAAGGAGCCCTCGGAGCCCAAGTTCAAGGGGCTGCGGCTGGAGCTGGCCGTGGACAAGATGGTGACGTGCATCGCGGTGGGGCTGCCCATGCTCCTTATCTCGCTGGCCTTCGCGCAGGAAATCTCGATCGGTAAGGCCCGGGCCCGGAAGGGCGGGATGGTCTGCACCCGCTTTATCAGCGGTGCTCGGGTCTGATGAGATGTGATTTTACCTTGCGCCCCTGGCAGTGCTCATTGCTGCGATGGGCATGAACTTTGGGAAGGACGGTAGCCCCAGTTTAATAGTTTGAAGCATTCTTTGTCCCTGTAGACTCTTCTCGCACCCCTACTCCTCAGTTTTGTTACCTGCACCCCATTGATCGCACTGTGGCTTAGTATTAATGTTCCACTGTATATCCATCGCCCTTGCCACCAGATTTGCTCGGAACAACTGGCCTAATTTCCCCTACATACATGTGGGTGGTCACCTACAATTTTGTACCAGAGAAGTTCCTGAGTGGCTAAACGGAGGGTGTGAAGACAAGTGCTCCATGAAAAGTGTTTTCTCCCTTCATAGTCTTCTTTTAATTGATGTTTACTGCAACTTGAGCTCTGCAGGATTCTGAGTGATAGGAAATGCCTGTTCTTGGCAGGTAATAGAGGGATACTGACATCCTCCACCTGCATGCTATGATGAATGTGAGATGAACGAGTCCTCTTCATGTAAATTCTCATTTGATTGTAATAACAGTTCTGTGAGATTCGAAAGTCTGGTGGTTTGGGTGGGATCACGTGGTCAAAAAGTGCATCGTCTTCCTCTTCAGCTGTCCTGACTTTCAGTACAGGAGAGAGTGTTTATGAGTCAACAAGAGATAGTGTATGACAGCTCTAGACAGTTCTGTGGGGGAAAAAAGAGAGAGGCTGGTGGGGCTGGACCTTGGGGAAATCCTATGTGAGAGATTGGGCTGGCCCTGGGCTTTGGAACTTGGGTGGGACTTGGATAAGCAGAGGGGAGACCTTTGCCAAGATTTTGAGATGGCAGAAAATGTTACGTATTCCTGGAAGGGGAGAAGCAGCGACTGTCCTAGCTGAGACAGGATTAGTCAGGGTTCCCGGAAGGTGTGAGTTAATGTAGGCTTGGGTCACATCAAACAGAAGAGTACAGACTTGATGGCTTCAAGTGTAAAGTTCTTATTTGAGCAAAGGATGGACCAGTTGAAAAATGCACTTAATAAATAATCTGACGGTATAATAGCATGTAGGGTCTGTGAAGGAGAGTGGAGTTAGGGAGGCCAGATGTTATATGATGGGGCATCAGTTGAGGTCTTGTGCATGGATGGGGGCCAAGAGTGGAAGGGAAAGGATTGGAAGGGGTGATTTCTGAGAGATCAAGGAGCAGTAAGCAGCCCTTGGGTACCTTGTTTTAATAGGCCATGAAGAGCAGTGACTGGTGAGAGTTTTGGAAAGGCTGCAGGCCTGGATGAGTGGAGAATGGTAGTGTTGTTGATGGAAATAGTGAAGTTGAGGGAAGAGTTGGTTAGAAATGAGTTTTATTTTTTTTTATTTTTTTTTATCTATGTCACAAAGTTGTTCAACTTGGCAGGAAGTTGCCAACTTAATTGTGGAAAAATGTGTTTAGTTTTCCTTGTCTCTGGGCTAGCATAGCCATGGAGTTTCCTTCTGCCTTCGAGATGGCTGGGTGTTAAGGCTTCCGGTAGAAAGGAAAACCACCAAGCATGGGTCCTGGAGATAATCTCTCCCTGTAGCAGACGTTCCTTGAGCACCAGCTGTGGGCTGGACCCAGTGCTAGGTGCTGAAGACCCACGTCTAAATGAGGCATGGCCCCTGTCATGGAGGAGCAACAGTCTTGGGCCCCTGATGCCAGAAGGGAAGAGTTGGTTACCCTCCACGGTTAAACTTCACTTCCTGTCCAATTTTAGAGGGATTCCTGAAGCACCTGCACCAGTAATGCTCTAGATACATCCAAATTGATGGGTTGTTTGAGAAGCATTTGGTTGGTGTTGGGAGTGGGTTTACCTAGCAAAGGTCTGACCTTACACTGTGTTCATAGTACTACTGTGCATTGAGTGGGACATGAAAGGAGTTTGAGGCATGGTCCTCTCCCCACCCTACGGGAGCTAGAACAGACATGCTGACAGATAATATCATTCAGTTGTGTGTGATTCAGTGAGCTCTGAGCACCTAGCAGGTGAAGGTTGGCCAGGACTTGGCTGAAGCTTTGTTGAGCTGAGTCCCGTGTCTTCTCAAGTGCTTTAGGAACTCCAAAGGGAGGACAGATGTGTGGAATGAAGCCAGCAGGACCAGGAAAGACCTAACAGGTTGAGCACACATTAGATAAAAGCAGAAGAAAGGGTCTAGAGAGGAGAGGAGTGGTACATAAATTAATACCTGGAGTGGGACAGTGGGGTCAAGTGGGGTCACACAGCATTTTATTTTGTACAAAGACAGCTTTTGTACAAAAACAAACAAAGCAATAAAGAAGAACTACACCAACAAAGAGAGAGAGAAGTAATTTAAATGGAGCAGGAACTTTTGCCCATCACTTTGGTTAATGAGCACCGGCCCCAGAAGAAGTGTGAGATGGGCCTGCAAACTTCAAACATGGCTCTGTCCTCCCTCTCATAAGAAGTGCTCCCTGCCTCTCTGGTGCCTGGGATAGTCCTTTATGGTCATACTTGGCACAGTGCGTTATAACCTGTCTGTGTGGCTGCTCATCTACAAGATGCTTCATCTTCTATTGGTCCCTAGAAGCTGGCCAGTGGCAGGTGTTGAAGGTTAGAGAGAGAGAGTGTCCTCATCTGATAAAACGAGTTGGATGTTGTATTAAAGGATTCTCCTTAGTCGTTGGCCCATTTTCTCACTAGTTCCGCTCCTCTCAGAAAAGAGGGACAGAACCTGTCCAGGTCATAGAGACCCACGGCAGGGCAGCATGGTGGCTATAGGTGGCCACTCGATGGGGATTCTGGCCCCGCCACCTCCCACAACAGCTCGCACAGGCTCAATGTAGAAGCTCCAGGGAGACAGTTCTGTTGCCACAGAAAGACTCTCATTTCTGACATGCTTGTCCCCAGATGCCTCTGGAGGTGCAGCACGTTTTACCCTGAGAAGAAGAGAGATTTAGGAACTAGCTGGGTGGCAACTCTGTGTAGAATATAAGCATAATTGGACTATGTGGCCTTTAAGCTCAGAAATTCTAGTATTTATCTAAACTATTGAAGAAATGAATTCCCTTTCAAGAGACAGACTTTAAATGGGGTTCATGTTCTTGGGGTCTTTTGACAAGGTCTGTAGTGCCCTAGCCTTAGGGTTATACAGGGCCTGATGCTGAGATGTCCCCCCTCAGGGGTTGCTTTGATTCTCTGGTGCCCTAACCTGGTGTGGTAGGAGACCCTAGGAGTGGAGAAGCCCCTTCTCCTGCCAGGACGCTCCTTGCCCTGAGCCAGGCCAGCTGGACCAGCTGAGCAGTGAAGGCAGCCAGTGGATCCCTGGGAAGGGGAGTCTGGTCTGTTCAGGGAGCTTTCTCTCCCTACTGCCCTCCCAGTGGGCAGCCACGATACTGGACAGAGGGATTTGGCCCATCCAGGTTAGCTGTGCTGTGCTGTGCTGTGCTGCTGTCATTACAGGGAAGCACTGGGCCAGCCCCAGTGAGCCAAACGACAGATATAACTGCAGCTGCTTCTAATACTATTAGCTCACAGTTCCCTTTGTGTTTTCCCCAAGTGAGTCAGCAACCGGGTGGCTTAAGTCATCTGCTCTGTTGTCGTTGGATTTAGGCACATCTTTCAGAATATGTTTCGGCTGCTTTTCAGCATGTACTACCTGGCAAATCTTGGTCGATTCTTTTTGGGGGTGTCTATAAGAATGAGGTAATATTTAGGGTCTCAGGGTGTAGACCCTATAACAGCACATCCTCAATTCATACTTAAAACCAAAGAGCCCAGAGAGCCTCCTGGCCCCCTTCCGGAAGAGCCTACTGAACTGCACGTGGTTTTCTTTGGTAATGTTTTTGTTGTATTTTTATTGTACTAAATATATTCTCATGCTAAAGGAGTCCTGTACCTCCTTCACCGTGTGCTGGAGGTGACCCCCGGGAACACTTCTACAGCCTTAAAGTTCCCATTGCCTGCATTAATATAACATGCATACACTTTTTTTTTTTTTAAACAAATTCACTCACACCATAGTGGTTTGCTTTTCCCCTGTTTTGGACAGCATTCTATGTCAGTGCATAAGTGTTACCTCACCATTTTTTGATAGGCAGGCAGGACAGTATTCCATGGCCTGGTATTGTTACATCAATTATCTAAGCACTCCCCTAGTGATGTACATTTGGGTTCTTTCAAAATTTCACATGAAGCAAGTTTGCACCTAAATCTTTATAAATGCTTCCCTCCTCCCAACATTGAGAGATAAGGAGAAGACACCAGTATCATTTGGCAGAAGGATGAAATCATCTTCCAGGATAGTTTTGCATTCCTGAGTTCTTATTTCAAATAAGTAGGAAAAAAAATGCTGCCTTGTGTACCCTCCCCCTCTAACTCTCTCTAAATGTGACTCTAAGAAGATTGGAGAAGGCATTTTGATGTGCTCCTGGTTTTAAGAAAGCAGTAGCCCTTTTCAGAAGTAAAAGTGAAACTTTGGGTGGCCTTCCTGATGTGCTCTCATAGCAAGCACACTGTAAGTTTCCTTCCTAACATTTACAACAAGTTGCAACTAGGTAATTGTTTGTAGTATTTGTTGAATACTGCCTCCCCACCAGACTGTACATTCATTGGGGACAGGGACCATCTGTCCTCTGTCGGGTTGACTGCTCTGTTCATAGCTTCCAGCAGAAAACTTTTGATACTCAGCAGGCATTCAATAAATGAACAGAATTATCAGGGGTGTCAGTAGGGTTTTAGCATTTTTGGTACCAAGTGTTATTATGTTATCTACAAGATGTGATTTTATGTATCTTGAAAGAGTTAGTGTTAAAAAAGATGACCTCACAAATATTTGAAAACTCTGTATAGTGTCACTAGAGCCCAGGAGAATAGCAATAATAGAGCAAGGAGTATGAATTGGCAGATAATAAGCAAACCTTTAGTAAAATGATGAGAATTGATTTTCAAAATATACTAGAACTTACCTA